CTTACTCTATTTATTCCAACAGTCAATTTATTTCATAGACTGACTTCATTTCTCCTAATGCTAACTCGAGCAGTATAAGAGAACAGTTATGATAGGGGAATGATCAAGAAATCTAATGGTAATACTTAACCGTTTATGAATGAACTTGCTGTTTTGACACTATATTTATACCTCTTTAATGATGTTACAACTTTATTTTGTTGATATTAACAGTTGGTTACTTTTATGACTGATTGATTGGCAGATGTTTTCTTTTTATATTGTAAAACGACTTTTGGATTTCCTCTTCTTTTTTATACACAAATATAAACACTTAATTGGCAAAACATATATGTAGATATTTGAACAAGAAGGAATAAAGATTAAGTTTTTAAGTTCTAAAAAAATTGTTTCTAAGTGCTTTACAGTAAAATATAGTTGATAATTATCAGTTAGACACTTCACTAATTACATATAAAACAGGTGTGTGTGTGTGTGTGTAAGTGTATGTATTTACTGAAGAATATCGGTCTTCAAAGAAAATTACTTTTTGTTCCCTCTTGTATTAGTCTGGAATTAATAAAATAGATGTAAAAATAGATTAATAAGTGCAGAATATCTCGTTAGAGTCAGTACGATTATCATAGCTGATAATTGTAGACGTTGAATGATATAGTTTGGAATCGATCGCATTGGGGTAGATCTATCTACCATAACTCATTTATGCCCAATGTTTTTTACTACTACTACTACTACTACTAGTACTTTGTCATTTACCTAGATAATTCATCTTATTTTGTTGATATGGTAAAGTGACTTGATCCAATGAAGGTAGATGCTAGGTTGTACGTTGCTTGTAATTGATTGACATTCGCTTGTCAATCAATGTCCGGCGCTTTAACCGGATCCCAAACCATTGGTGCACATGGGCTGGCTCCAGTATCCTGAAGGAACAAATGGCGTATGAACCAATCGTTGGTCACCGGCTACCATGGGACTGCATCTCCTTACGATGCTCCACTGCCTTGTGGGTCAGACGTTCAGGTCAAAGGCTCGGGGTGTGGCCCCCTAAGAAAACCACCTGCTTCGGTTTGGGCACCCGGGTAGTATCACAGCTCTCACACAAATCAATTGAGATGTGTGTGGCGCATATGTATTTGGTGCCTCCTTGTACCAATACCTATGTGTTAAAATAAAATAATAAATGTAATTGATTGATGAAAAGACGAATATGTTATTGTTATCTTATACATAGAAGAAAAATCTTACCCTACGATTTACTTCTTAATAATTTTAAATATATATATGTATCTAAGTGATTTCAATCAAATTATTTTTAAGACTTTATCATTTGAACAATATCATGCAATGCGTACAGTTTGACATTATTTTACAATCATCAAAAGTAACCAAATACATAACTGTTAAGAATTGTCTATTAATTTCATTATAACATGTCAAGAAATATAACAGGGGAATCTACACTGCGCGTTTCAAACTTCTCTTTTTGACTAACTTTAGTTAGACAACTATTCAAAACCAATAGTAAGTACTAGATAACTACTTCATTCTATCACAAAACTCCTTTACAGTGAACATCCACAAAGGATTAGCTTGAGGACTGCCAAACATTTAAACAAGCTCTTAACCTTACACCGAACATAGGTAAACTCTACTGCTTACAACTTTTCACTAGTACTCCAGTAATTTCTCAAAATTAGTTACTAGTAGGCACATATTAATTACTACTACATGTTGTTTTGAAATTGATAGATTTAAATTTTCACATCACAAACTACTCAATGTCAATCATTATAGATAGTAGCATTTTTTTCTTTTCGTTTCATTTAATCTCATTATTAATGATTGTCTACTATTTTTTTCTTGTTCTTCTTAATTGTATTTTATTAGTTAATTTCCTTAAATATAAGTTCCTTTATTGATTAATCGTTGTGCGCCCACACACACACACACACAAACAAACAAACATATGCAATCCATTTTATCACATTTGTCCAACTTATTATCCTGTCCATAAATATGTATCTATCTATCTATCTATCTATCTATCTATCTATCTATCTATCTATCTATCTATCTATCTATCTATCTATCTATCTATCTATCTATCTATCTATCTATCTATCTATCTATCTATCTATCTATCTATCTATCTATCTATCTATCTATCTATCTATCTATCTATCTATCTATCTATCTATCTATCTATCTATCTATCTATCTATCTATCTATCTATCTATCTATCTATCTATCTATCTATCTATCTATCTATCTATCTATCTATCTATCTATCTATCTATCTATCTATCTATCTATCTATCTATCTATCTATCTATCTATCTATCTATCTATCTATCTATCTATCTATCTATCTATCTATCTATCTATCTATCTATCTATCTATCTATCTATCTATCTATCTATCTATCTATCTATCTATCTATCTATCTATCTATCTATCTATCTATCTATCTATCTATCTATCTATCTATCTATCTATCTATCTATCTATCTATCTATCTATCTATCTATCTATCTATCTATCTATCTATCTATCTATCTATCTATCTATCTATCTATCTATCTATCTATCTATCTATCTATCTATCTATCTATCTAATCTATCATCTATCTATCATCTATCTATCTATCTATCTATCTATATCTATATATATCTATATCTATATCTATCTATATATATATATATATATATATATATATATATATATATATATATATATATATATACCTCACAGAGTTCATTTAGTTAATTCGAAATGCTAACTGTAAAAATGAAGAGAATAACATTTGCATAGAAATGAATGAATGAATTGGTTTGGTAATTTGATTACTTCACTTCTAATGTTACAAGGTACTATTCATATGTATATATATATGAGATAATTAATTCTCTTTTTCACTTATTCTTTTATTTATTTATTTGTTTAAGTGATAAAATATAATAAAGAATGAATTTATTACTTTGAAGAAGTAACTTACATTAAGTCACGAAACATCAAAAATACAATTTTTTCCTATTTATTAAAATTATAACAAATCATTTATTTATTTATTATTACATCTTTATTCAATGCTTAAATGATTTGATACTATCCAATATAACCATCATATTGATATCTATTTGTATAATTGTTTACTTATCTTTTGCAAAATGTGATATGATCTAATTTTTACTACAGAAATGACTGAAAACACGGATAAATTAATTAGGAATTAATTTTTGTTTTATTGATAGATATTTTCAACTTCCGAATACTGCTACTTATACTATTATTATTATTATTATCATTATCATTACTACTGTTATTACTATCATTGTTGTCATTGCTATTATTACTGCTACTATCATTACTATTATTATTATTACCATCATTATCGTTGTCAATATTATTACTATTGCCATCATTACTATTATTATTATTATCATTATTACTATTACCATTATTATTATTATTATTATTATTATTATTATTATTATTAGTTATTATTATTATTATTACTTGACACGCAATATTATCTTAGTTAAAAATTACACAATTACACAGAGAATAAATTTTTAACATAATTTTAGATTTAAGTTTTACTTGTATGTTCCTATTGTGTGTGTGTGTGTGTGTAGAACTTTCAAACTACTAATTCACTTGATATAATAATTGAGAGTTAATTAAAAGTTGATTAGAAGATATAAAATATAAACAAATTTAAATGTATGACAATATATAAATGAAATGTAGGATTAATGCAGATTTTAAAAAAAGAGATATTAAAGCTTAATACCTTCAAGTTTCCATGTATTGCATGTACTGAACCATTGCTTATCTGGTCTAGCTAGGGGCGACCAGACCAAAACGTGGCACAAATCCATGAAGTCACTGATAAGTGGACTGAGCAATGTTGGTAGGTGTAGACTACCTGATTGGGATCCGCGAGACGATAAAAACCGATGGTTAGAGACCTTGAATGACATGGCTCAAAATCGTTTGCAATCGCGCAAGTGCATCTACTCTTTGTGTTCTCCCAAATTCTAATCTCATGAATTCTCCTTGTCTCTTTTTTTTCTCTGTCCAAATTTATTTCACTGGATTATACTCCTTGAATAACATCTTCGAAACCTAATGTTTCCGACTACTACTTATACTCTTACTACCTCTACCACTATGGGATTTAAATCGACAACTGCATCTCTGTGCTAATGTGTTATGGCAACTCGAATCGATGTACGTACGTACGAAGTTGTACGTTGTTACTGACTGACAGACGGTTATCTCAGTGTGGAATGTTTACACGTGCAGTAGAAGGTTGAATTCAAGTTAGAAGTGGTCATACAACGACTTGACATTTAGGCATTAATAGTTGGACTGGGGCTTGTAAGTAAGTTCAGATTTGATTAGGTTTCGCGCTATTTTAATGACAAATGGTAGGTAACTTCGGACGGAGTTGGTCCGAAAAGATGTTAATAGCATAGATATGTACACTCTTTATCTTCCCTTAAATCTTGAGTTTCAAAAACATCTTATAATTCTTTCTGCAAATTTATTGTTCTTTCTGGAATTATACAATGTACGCCTAATTTTTTCTACTACCACTAATACTGTCGCTGTTCCTCCTTCTCCCAGTACTACTGTAAGATTTATCTTGACAATTTCACCTAAAGATGGTAATAGTGTCAGACATTTCAAAATGATATGCCAAGTTCTACACTGTTTATGACTTACTGATCGACTGAATGAAACTATCTCAGTTTGCATATATTATTCCCGTTTGATTGTTCGTATAGAAGAGTTCACATAACATTTTAGTATCATATCAGTCAGTATGCAGATATGAGCACCAAATCAGAAGTGTATGGTTGTATATATATGGTTGGTATATTATATCTATGTTATAGTTTAATTATTACTCCCTTCAGTTACAAATTAACAGTAATGATTCATTAACCTGTTTTTTCTCTTCATTTATTCCATTTTGAAAAAAATAGATTTCGCTGAAATGCTTATCACTTCAAATCAACATTTCATCAATATCTATACATTAATACTATCCTTGTTCATTTTCTTCATTCACTACAAATATTTGTTTCATAATGTAAATGCCGAAAATTTGAAACCGACACCATCAGCACATCAACAGTATGTTAATTTCATACAAAAACAACAAGACAATAAAGATATTGACTCATCATTATCAGATAATCATTATGTCGATAAGTCAAATTCACCACAAACAATTAATAATAATATGGATAAATTCAAATCATGTATATGCTTCAAATGGCCAAATTGTCTTAGCAATTGTACAAATGGTAAGTATTAATTTAACTACGTTTTTCTTATAACTAGAAATAGATAGTGGCTAACCGCAGAATTTAGAACGCCTGTTTCATCATCTGGATGTACCTGCACCAGAGTTAATGTTCACTCTGGGACTCGAACCCACTAACGTTCGCTTCAAACACTACTATGTTATCTACTTAGCTATTAAGTCCATATAGCCACTGGCTTATGCATCGAGGGGGAGAAGTGTACTTCATCTATTTTAGTTGCTTGGATCTTCCTATTGATGTTAAGGACTACAATTGATCAGTCTCTCTTGAAGCAGACGGTACTGGATTTGAGTTCTTGAGTGAACACCAAGTCTGAGATGTAGGTACATCGAACTGACATGTTTCAACTTGGATAGGACGGGCGTCCTGGGTTCCACTGTTAACCATATTTACTCTATTCTATATCGACTTGTGTCATAAAGACGATTCGCATAGAATGCACGCATACCAAAGATTCAAACAACCAATACAAGTCGATTACATTTAACTTTTATGTTTTTATTGGTTTTATACTGTAAGATTTACCTAATAATCTTTCTGGTAATCATTAAAGAAAACGTTAATAATAAGTAATTCCAGTGTTTCAGTCGACAGTCTAGTTCGGGCTTCTTGAAGGAGAAATAACTCAAACATCAAAATTATGGAAAATTTAAAATAAGGATTGAAAATCAGTGTAATGGTTAATTGTGAATAAGTCTCAATAACAACTGTTCAGTGTTTTATCTCTAAGAGTTCGATTTTATTCCAAAATAGGAAAAAAAGCATTTGAGCGTCAAATTCTTCATAATAATTTCTTACCCTGAAATTTCAATTTATTCATTAAACTATTGTACGCATTAATATCTAATGCTAACTAAGTAATTATACTGATAAAAGACGAAAGATTTATCCGCAAATGAGGAGACATTAAAGTTATTATACTCCTTGAATAACATCTTCAAACCCTAATCTTTCCGATTACTGCTTATGCTTTTACTACCTCTACTACTACAGGATTTGAATCGACAATTGTGCAAATGTGGTATGGCAACTCGAACTGATGTGCGTACGTACCAAGTTCTAGGTTGTTGCTGACTGATACTGATAAAAGCTTATGTTATTTCAACAGTTGAGATCATGAGTCAATTGAAGCTAGACCACCATGGAAAACCTGGAAGCACTGGACGGTCCTTTCGTCCTATTGTGGGATTCCTCAGCAGGTTTTCTATGGTGGTCTAACTTCAATTGATTCATGATCTCAACTATTGAAATTACTACAATCTCCACACAACCCCTTCTGATGCTTATGTTATTATTATGTAAAGAACATCATCATTCAAAACTGTTTCCACTTAATAATTATTACGTAATTAATAGTAGTAACATTCAAAGAGAATTTCGATGAGACACACCACCATGTTTATTGTGATATTTCAAAGTATTGAATTTCATTCAATTCATTAATCAGTTATAGAAAACAAAGAAAGGAAGCTTCAGATTAGAGTTGAACAAGTGTTGATCAATTTTGTTTGTTTGTTTTTTTTTGTTGTTGAACATATATTACTCATCTTTGTTACTACATACTAAATTTAAGTCTAATTTTTTTCGCCAATAGTTATTATCTTAGGGTTAAAGTAAGAATATACACTCATGTAATATAATCAACAACCAAGCCTTAATTGTATTAACCTTCAATAAATACATAACTTGAGATTAATGTTTTCCAAATTTTGATTACATTAACTATTTAACTGAAAACTATTATCATTTATCATCAGTCTCTTATATAGTTTAGCGTTTCCACTAAATTGTTTGCTTAAGGTCTCATTCTTTAAACTCTATGAAAAACAAAGAAAAGTTATTATATTCTTTTGAGCAATTTTCAACTTCTGTAATGAGATCAAGTTTTCTTAATTAGATGTAAATTGGGCAAGTGTATAATTATGGACGAACAAATCAGATTTAAGATAGCGGATCTTGGAGTTTGGTATGAAATTCATTCACTCAGTTGGTTAAATACTATTTTTGCATTATAGTTGATGTCAGTTCATTATGAAAACATTATATCGAATTCCTCACACTAATCTATAATCGTCTTATTTAACCATTACTATCGGTGAAATTTTATTTCAACTTCTTTGTTTTACTCTATTAGTACTCAGCAGTTCTCTCTGTTGTACTTTATATCTGTCAAACGGTCTTTAAAATTAGATACCCGTCGATTACTAGTATTCGATCATAGTTTCCTTCGGAACACTTTGTATATGCTAGTACCGTCGAGTTAGCGATTCTAAAGTTAGACGCAGGATATTAGGTAAGAATGGAAAATTAATTGGTGAAGTAGTAAATCTTTATCTATTGAAATGGTTTGGGGATGTATTATGTATTCTCCATTCACCATCTACTTCAACATATAACCACCTCAGAAGTAGAAATAAGTTTGGAAGTAAGCTAGGAGCGTCCGAATGAAGACGTGGTACCAATATCAGTCGATGGAGAAACTGATAATTTAACTGGACCGTGTTAATAGGTGCAGACTACCTGATTGAGGTCCGCACGATTTTCGTAACAAGTTGTTAGAGTCTTTTAGTAACAGCTCATAATCAGTCACAATGTGGCACATGGATTCACTCTTTATCTTCCCTCAAATTAAAATTTTTCATTGATCTTGTAGATTTTTTCCCAATAATCCATATTTTCTTCTTAAATCATATTTTAAATGCCTAATCTTTTCTATTTTCACTGATAATATTACTACCTCTATCACACTGAGAATTTGCCTTGACAGTTTCATTTCACTGTGCTAAGAGAGTCTGGCAACTTGGACGTTGGGTTTGGCTGACTGATTTTATTTCATCATCTTATCAATCTCTGGTCCTTGAAACAATAGTCGATGTTAGATTAAGGTTTTTTAGTGATAATATCAGATTATTATTAGTAGTATGGAATAGGATCGAATATGTATTCTTACTTCTTTTTCTTCTATTTATAATGAACCATTTATTAATTGTATAATCTGAATAAATTCCAGTGATTTCTGTATTTTCAGGCAGATATTTCTTGATATTATGTACTCGATTTATATGTGTATCATTTTTCTCCTCTTATAATTCACTAACTTCCCAATCGATCAGTCGTCATTTATACAGGTGCACACATATGTACATAGACAATCATTGTAATCTAAACGAATGTGAAATTACACAAACTTTTGTGTAAAACTGAAAAAAAAAATAGAAAGTGAACACAGTTTTCACTTTGACATAGAATTTTGCCCAATTTCTTTTTTTAAGATTTAAGAAATAGACGGATATAAAAGTCAATAGGGATTCTGGGTGGTCACTTGTATATTTTTCTATACAATAACATATATTGTGTTATTAAAACTATGAAACTCATTGTTTATAAAGTACATTCTAGAACAAAAAAACGCATGAAAGTTTCTTAATCAAATGTAATGGTGTGTTTTTGTTGCCAAGTATAATGAACTTGCTTACTTATATGTATAAGGGATGATATTAGTGTTTATCCTATTCTATTCTTAATGAATTTCTAATTATCATTTAATCTTCCTTTTTTTCCAAAAACTACATTGGTTATAGCAAATAGACAACATATTGTCAAGTTGATAGGGGAGATTTTAACTAAAACCATGTTATATCATATTTTATTACTTATCCTTTCTAATTCCAACTTCTTCTGTTGGTCTACTTGAACACGACAGAACATAATAAATAAATAAATAGTTGAGACTATAATTTATGGACGACTTTTGAGCGACGCTAATCTGACCTTGAGAGGGTCCATTTAATATCTAGGACCAAATGAAGGTTATAAACTTGTGTAAGGAATTAGATTTAGCGTTTTCATCACGAATTGACATAAGCTATATTGCCAAGCTTTTATTTAGTCGAATAGATAAATGAATTTCGCACCCAAAATCCGAGGTCTATTATCTTATACCTGATTGGTTCGTCCATAAATTATAGTCTTGCCAAAAAAATATGTTAAAAGTTAACTTAGAACTGCACATGTAAGCGAACAATTGTTTTCAATTAGATTGTCATCAGGCTTTTCTCTAATATACATGGATATTATACGAAAATGTTAAACCAATTGGTCACTTACATGTGTTCTAATTTTCACAATGGGAATCTTTAATATGCTAAAAGTTAACTTTCCTCTCAACCGGACGTTACGTAAATAACCACTGAAAACTAGAAATCACACTGCAGGTCTGTTTCATCTGAACTAGGGATCAAACACAGTGTACAGTTTGAAATCTTCATAACGTTTGAACTGAAATATAGCAGTTCATCTTTCCAACTTCAGATTTAGAAATATATTCGTGGACGCTTCTTTTTACATAACTGTAATTTTATATATTTGCAAGTGTATGTACAAATAAAGTACATTTAAGACAGGTAATTGTAACAGATTACCGTTGATTCAACTAATGTTTATTTTTCCTCATTTGTATGTGTATATCAGTTTAGTCTAACACCTGGAATGTTATTCATCACTGATTCACATGTTAAACATTTCTGTTAATTAGTAACATATCAATCACTTAATTGTTGCTAACGTAGAACTTAACATAAGATGTGAGATGGTATTTGGAGATAGTCGACAGGAAACTCCAACCACCACCTCACATCTCAACATAGTGAAAACATGTGAAGTCACTCAGACTAGTGGGTACATTGCAACTTGGTCGATAGAATTTATCTTGCACCAAAGACTTGGACAACTATGATACTGGTTACTTCTCGGAATCAATGAAGATCTAAACTTGACTTGAATGATATTTAGTTCATTATTTATAATTTCTCCTGTGTACTTTAATATCTTATACTTATTATATAGTTTTTCGCTTGAATAATTCGTTATTAATGAACAAAGTTGAACCCGGCACATGTATGAACCGGTTCAAGTTAATACATTATATGAACATAGGGAGATCAAATTATCATGATAATTGTTAGAAAAGTGTAATAACC